TATTAATAATTTTAAGTTCTTTGATATATTATAAAATATATTCTTATATTTCAAGTTTCTAATATTTTAGATAAACTTTTGTATAATATATATATTATTGAAATATTATTTATTTAATTCTAATATATATATATAATTGCTAAATTATAAAAAGATTATAGATTAATTTATTAAATTTATATTAAAAAATCAAAAAATATTATTTATATCAAATATACTATTTTTATTAAAATATATATGATAATTATATAAAGATTCTGAAATAATTTAAAAATATTTATATTAATTGCAAATATTAGAATAAAAATATACTATATATTCAACAAGATTTTGATTCTAAAAAATTTCTAATTTCTATAAGTCAACTACTCTACTTTCGGGCCACCCTTTCACACCAAAAACAGTGATTTTCGAATATTCACATTTCTATCAATATTGAATCTAATTAAATGAAATTTTGAATATAGATTCTATATATAGTTATTAGCTCAATCATAGTTTTTTGGATTTTTATGATTTTATATAAAAAGTTATTAAAGTTCAAAAATCAAGGTTTTCATTTTGTATACGATTTATATATAAATTTCAAAATATTCTAAAAATCTTGATAACTTTTTAACAAAAATAAATAAAAATAAATTTGTGATTTTTATATAATATTTGAGCATATCTTATTATAGAGATCAAATTTAATTTCAATAAGAATTGATGTTTAATCTTTTATTTAGAATTCCAAATATTTTGATCAAAAATTTGATCAAAAAAAACGATTATTACTAATAAAGCTTTAAATAACGTGGTTTATCAGTAAGCGGAACATATCAGTAACCGGAACACTTTTACCTCAATTACCACCTCTTAACTTTGACACACGATAAATCTATATCCAACCTTTCAAATCAATATACAAGAGTTGCAAATTAATCTAGCTATTCAAGCTATTGCTTCATCCAAAAAACTGAGTGTACGGAAAGCTGCTAAAATCTATAATATACTGTATACTACCCTTATCTACAGAATAGCTGGTTGAACACCGAAAGCTGGATCTCAATCAATATATTATAAAATAACAGAATTAGAGGATAAATCGCTTCTTTAATATATATTAGATATAGATAAGAGAGGGTTTAATCTTTGAATAAGTGATGTGGAAGATATAGCGAATTGTATCCTCGAATTGCAGGGTAGCAAAAAGGTTGGAAAGCTCTAAGCTAATCGATTTGTATAACGATATTCAGACTTAAAGATATGTTTTAATCGCGTTTATGATTTCCAAAAAGCTTTCTACAAAAACCCAGAGTTTATTGGGAACTGGTTTCGATTAGTATCGAATATACAGGCAAAATACAGTATTCAGGATTGCGATTTATACAACTTCGATGAAACAGACTTTATGATAAAACAAATATCATTGTATATAATAGTTATTAGAGCTGATCAACATGAAAGAAATAAAGCTATATAACCAGGCAACCAAGAATGGGCTATAGCGATTGTTTGTATCAATAGAGAGGGATTTAGTATTCCTCTATTCCTAGTAATTAAAGGCAAATACTATCTCTCAAATTAATATATCGAAAGGGATTTACTACATGATTGAATCATTAAATCTATTACCAATAGATGAACAAACAATTACACAGATCTTGAATAGGTTAAATATTTCAATAAGTATACTTTAAGCAAAAAAATGGGTAAATATCGAATACTAGTACTTGATAAGTATAAAAGTTATAAATCAGCAGTATTTCAGGAATATTGCAAGGAATACAATATTATATTATTTAATTTACTATCTCATTCTTTGTATTTAACTTAACTATTTGATATTGATTGTTTTAGTTCTTTAAAGTGTTTATACAATTAGCAGATCGAGAACTTTATAAAAGTGTATATCATCTATATTACCAAAACCGAGTTCTTTCATGCTTTCAAAACTATATATCTCGAATCAATATCTATATCCAATAGTAAAGCTGGATTCCGCAGAGCTGGACTAATACTATTTGAACCAGAAATTATACTCTCAAAACTGGATATTCGAATAAGGATACTATCAAATGACAGATCAGTGTCAGTTGATTCTGATATATAGCAATCTCAAACACCTCAAAATCCAATTGAAGCTTTTTCTCAATCAACTTTAGTAAAAAGTCGTATTGCCTAGTATCAAGGAAATTCACCTACTCCAATATTTGAAACAGTTACAGTTTTAGCTAAGGGTACAAAGCTTCTAGCTTATACAAATACACTTTTAACTATTAAGGTTTGTAATCTCCACAAAGCAAATGAAATACTTAGCAAATACCAAAAAACTCAAAAAGACTCAATTACATAAAGAAGAAGTATTTGAAATAAAAGATAGGTATAACATATTAGAACAAAAGAATATAGAAGATCAAATATAATACGATAAATATATAAATAGTAGTTCTTTAGAAGTGAAGCAAGTTATTAAACGAAAATATAGCAACTGCAATAATACTGGGTATAATACACAAACTTGTCAATTAGATCCAGCATTAGTTGATTACTAGAATGTATA